TGGTAATGGCTGGGCTGCTAACTTTTAATTTATGATACAAACATTTACTCTTACATGAACTCTTGCAGTTAATCTTTTTATTCTATTGAATAAAACAGGACATTTTGCGTGCTCAGTCATTTCAGTAGAGTCTATCTCTTTGTGACCCCATGGACTATAGCCCACCAGGCTCGTCTGTCCTTAGGATTCTCCAGGAAAGAATACTGGGGTGGGTCGCCATTTCCTTCTCCAGGGGATCTTTCTGACCCAGGGATCGAACGCGGGTCTCCTGCATCGGCAGGCAGATTCTTCACCAGCTGAGCCACCAGGAAGCCCCAGAGTTTGAACAGGCTCTATAAATTATCCATAGCATTTTGCTGTATCCATTTGATACTTGCATGCTGCCATTTTCAGAAAAAGAGCAACTTTAAGTTCTCCCAACTGATACTGCCCCACTGCAACCCTTAGCAAGCTCCAGTACTTCTTGGAGTTTGTACACAATGCACTTGACTCTGATGCTCTCTGGCACCTGTATTAGTTTCCAACAGTCAGTGAGCAATGGTTACCGACAAAGTGTACGCAGACACTTGGGAATAAGTGGCAAGCTTCTAGGGAACGCAGAAGAGTTTCAGAGGATGCAAGGCTGAGGGAAGCCAACAGGAAAACTCCAAATCGCTGGGACATAGCACAGAACCACCTGTGCCCTGCAGCGGGAATTGGGTCTCTCTACACAGAGGTAAGAACCTGGCAAGCACATGAGAAAAACTGGCAGAACCTAGAGGGTGGAAGTTGAAGCTCAAACCAAACAGACATGGCTGATGGAGAACATGTCCAAACAGAAGAGAAAATAGCAGAAAAGAAATATCCGGTAACTCCTCAAAAATCCTATTTATAAAAGCCATCTGGCAGTTTCGATTACATTACGACCACAAGTTCCCATGTCATTGGGATTCGGGAAACTGGAAATAAAAGTACAGGGAACTGAAAAAGCTTCCATATAAAGTCAAAGGGCAGTAACCTTTGCAGATAGGGAGCAGAAGATGAACATTTTGACAAGGATATCCAAAAACTTCTTCTGTGGTCAGCTTTTAAAGACTTTTGTTTTTTCTCCCCCACATGAAAACTGCTTCACGGTACTTTCTAAAAGATCTTCATGCTTAGAGTATACAGTTATTTTTTAAGTATCCCAAGTAAGTAAACAAAACAGTGGAACAAGAACATGTGATTGTTCTTGATTGGTGTTTAGGAAGCACAGATGGAGAAAATCAAATATCCAGACTATAAACCCTTTCCTAGTTCTTCTAGAATAAAGGGTGAAAGTGAAAGTGTTAGTCGCTCATTCATGTCCGACCTTTTGCGACCCCATGGACTAGCTCGCCAGGCTAAACTGTCCATGGGATTTCACAGGCAAGAAAACTGCAGTGGGCTGCCATTTCCTTCTCCAGAGGATCTTCCCGACCCAGGGATTGAACCCATGTCTCCTGCATCTCCTGCATTGGTGGGTGGATTCTTTACCACTGAGCTACCTGGGAAGCCAAGAATTAAGGGTAGAATTGGTTTATTTATTAGATAATTTAATGTCAGAGTGGAGGTTGGTAGAAAACAAAGGAATTATTGTTGTTCAGTCGCTAAGTTGTATCCAACTCTGCGACTCCATGAACTGCAGCATACCAGGCTTCCCTGTCCTTCACTCTCTGCGAGCTTGCTCAGATTCACGTTCATTGAGTTGGTAATACCATCCAACCTTCTCATCCTCTCCTTCTCCTCTTGTCCTGTTTCTTTCCCAGCATTAAGGTCTTTTCCACCGAGTCAGCTCTTCAGATCAGGTGGCCAAAGTATTGGAGCTTCAACATTAGTCCTTCAAATGAATATTCACGGTTGATTTCCTTTAGGATTAACTGGTTTGAGCTCCTTGCTGTCCAAGGGACTTTCAAAAGTCTCCTCAAGCACCACAATTTAAAAGCATCCATTCTTCAGCACCCAGGCTTCTTTAGGGTCCAACTCTCACAGCCATACATGACTACTGGAAAAACCACAGCTTTGACTATGGTCGGTAAAGTGATGTCCCTGCTTTTTAATATGGGTATCTAGGTTTGTCATCCCTTTCCTTGCACGGAGCAAGCATCTTTTAATTTCATGGCTGCAGTCACCATCTACTGTGATTTTGGAGTCCAAGAAAATAAAATTTGCCACTGTTTCCACTTTTTCCCCATCTATTTGCCACGAACTAATTGGACTGGATGCCATGATCTTAGTTCATTTCACATGCTAGCAAGGTAATGCTCAAAATCCTTCAAGCTAGGCTTCAACAGAACATGAACTGGGAACTTCCAGATGTACAAGCTGGATTTAGAAAAGGCAGAGGAACCAGAGATCAAATTGCCAACATCTGCCGGATCATATAAAAAGCAAGGGAATTCCAAAAAACAAAAAAACATCTCCTTCACTGATTAGGTGAAAGCCTTTGACTGTGTGGATCAAACAAACTGAGGAAAATGCTTAAAGAGATGGGAATACCACACCACCTTACTTGCCTCCTGAGAAACCTTGCAGGTTACGAAGCAACCTTTAGAACCAGTCATGGAACAACAGACTGGTTCAAAATTGGGAAAGAAATACATTAAGACTGTAATATTGTCACACTGCTTATTTAACTTATATGCAGAGTATATTGTGTGAAATGCCAGACTGGATGAATCCCAAGCTGGAATTAAGATTGCTGGGAGAAATATCAACACCCTCAGATATGCAGATGACACCACTCTAATGGCAGAACGTGAAAAGAAACTAAAGAATCTCTTGATAACGGTGAATGAGGAGAGAGAAAAAGCTAGCTTAAAACTCAACATTCAGAAAACAAAGATCACTTCATGGAAAATAGATGGGGGGAAGTGGAAACAGAAAATAAACAAGCATAGTCTTTTCTCTTAAAGATCTAACAACCTGATGAAAAAGACAGATGTGTATATGTCACTACATAACCTAGAAAGTTATCTTTCTCTTTTTACTATAATAAGCAAAACTGCCAGCAAAAAAAAAAAAAGCAAATACTCCCTGTGACTCACAATGATGGGGCCTCCTCGAGGTATGACAGTCAACACACACACTGTACTGAACAAGAGTGTAGGGTACACCCTTCATAAACTTGAAGCCAGGAACACAAGAAAGAAAGAAAGAAATGGGACTTCAGGGTAGATTTTGGCCACTAAATAGCTCAAAACATAGACTAAAGGCGTTAAAATCATTAAACCTTTTAATATGGCCATTTATTTTTGCAAACTGCTTTGCTGACTATACAGCTGAACCTTGAACAACGCGGAGGTCAGGGCATCAGCATGGGAATAGCCGAAATCCCGAGTGTGACTTGTAGTCGGTCCTCAGTATACTAGGTTCTACACTCGAGGATTCGACCAACTGCAAATCCTGCAGTCCTGTAGTATTTACTGGTGCAAAATATCCACGGAGACCCACACAGTCCACACCTGAGCTGTTCAAGGGTCAACCACACCTTGAATGACCACAGCAGGAGAAGCTGGGCAGGTTTGTGGAGGAGAAGGAATCAAGAGAAAATCTGAGGCTAGAAATTTCTAAAAACCTGATCGGTAAATGAATAGGAAATATTTATTAATAAAGTCACATCCATTTTTCATTTCCATAATATAATATCTGTCCACCACCAGCCAACGTTTACATTCAGTGCCTACCAATGAAATGTTCAAAGAGAAAGTACCAAGATATTCAAGCTTTAAAATAGCCTAAGAAGACTGGAGAAAACAGAATCATTAAAGTGCAAAGCAGAGCAGTCAGATCCCTGGCCTGTCATTTTACAAGTAAGAAACTAAAGCCAATTACTTGCCCAAGGACAGAAATGTGAAGCCAGACCCCCAAAGTACTGCTACAAGTCAGCAGCTTCACACAGCTCAGCAAACAATCCTAGGATGAGGATTCGGGAGCATCCCCACTGACCTCCACTCAACATACAGCCCTTCACTGAAAACTGTGCCAAAAAGAAGTGTCTAATATGTTAACAAGTCACTTGAAGAACTGAGTCCATAAAAAGCTGTCCCTTTCTGGGCCCATTTGTATAGCTATGGCCATGGAGACCATAATGTTTATTTACAGAAAAGGATTTTAATAGTTTACGAGGGTAAAAAAAAACAAACAAACAAACAAAAAAAAACCTCACATCCCCAAGGTATGAGGGAAAAAACAATACAAACATAAAAACTCTCTTTTCTACTTAAAACTGATGTTTTTATTCCCTTCTCCTTGGGCTAAGCCAAAAATGGCCAGCAACACAGAGATGCTACTTTTTCCTCCCTCAAGTACATGCACAATCTTCAGGAAAAGCTGGTGGATATTATTTCTCTGAACTAATTTCAAAGCTCAGTTCCAAACCTCACAAGTTGCTAAATATACCCCAGGCTCCCGATGGCAAAGTTGCGGCAGTACCCCCAGAAATCCTGGCTACATCTCAGAGCTTCTGAAAGCTGAGTCTGCGGTTCACTCACTTTTAAATCCCCAGCACCCGTAACAACACTAGCTCGTAACAGAAGTGTAAGAAACGTGCATTAAACGGAAGGAAGTGTAGCACAATAACCGAGTCCTCTCTCTCTAGTTTCAATCGCATGCCGGTGTGGCAGTACTTCTAACCTTAATCTCGTATGATGCCACACTCTGACACCCAACTGAGGCGGACATGGAAATCAGTGCCCTCTTGACAGAGCTAAGATGCTTGGCACAGGGTAAATGTGCTGTTTGGTGACAGATATTTTTAAAACTCTACACGAGAAGGTGCAGCCAAAGACGAGTATGAGAGGTTTTACCGTCCAGTCCAGGGGTTTTTGCTTCGTTTCCGCTTTCAGATTCCCCCAAAGGGGATACAACACATTGAAACATGAAACAACAGGCCTTGGTCTCCAACAGCCCCTTCCAGGCTGTTAAGTGTGAAGTGAGTGTGTGCTCAGCGGCAGAGGTGTCTACGCTGGCTGTTTACAAGTGCGCTCAGATTAGACACCGACCTTGACAGCTCCGAGTTGCTCTTTTCTGAATTTTTCCAAGGGTTTAATCAGGGTTTCGGTGACACTTAATGCCTGGAGAACAAGAGCGATAACAAAAGAGCAGAGCATTAGGTTTCCAAAAGGGAAAAAGTGAGCTTTCCATTCCCCTCTTCCACCCCGCCCAGAAACAAAACGAACAGCGCACTGAACAGCTTTATCTCTCCCTGCCAATGCAGCCATTAAATCACTGCTAAATTTATTAACACACCAGATCTCCATAAATGTTTTCAGGGAAGAGGAGGTGGGGCAAAGCGCCAGGGAAATGTGCAACCCAACCCCAACACAGCCCTTTCTTCAGAGGCACAGCAAGAGGGTTGGCTTCAAACAACAAAGGGGTCTATCACATTCATTAACAGAACACTTCTGTTTGAGGGTTTGTTGGGTTTTTTTTAATCCCTCTGCTCAGAAATTTAAAAGTCAATGACGTTCTTTTATTAGTGATCAGACTACATTACACAGAGGGCTAGGTTTGTGGCTACAAGTTTAAATGTACTCAGACTGCCCTTCATCACTGAAAATTTCTCTTAAGGATTTAGGCTGTGCCAGCAAAACAGAGTCACTTTGAGCTCAGGACAGTCAGTCGTCCAAATATTAGGGGAGATGGCAAGGTCACCGTGACAGGAACCACACACAAATGCCACCCACAACCTCACTCATTCTTATACTGGCTGATTTGGGGCTTGTCATTTTAATACAGAATCTACACACAAGTTATATGTGGAATCAAAAAAGACAATAAAGTAGTGAATAAAACAAAAAAGCAGCAGACTCACAGATATAAAGAACAAACCAGGGGTTACCAGTGGGGCGAGGTCAAGGGGTGGGGGCAACGAAAGGGTAGAGAACTAAGAGGTACAAACTATTAGGTTTAAAATAAGCTGTAAGGATATGTATACAAGATGGGGGAATACAGTCAGTACTCTCCAATAACTATAAAGGAAAGTTAACCTTAAAATTGTAGGTCACTATATTATACACCTGTAACATATAATATCACTGTACATAAACCATATTTCAATTTTTTAAATTTCAATAAAAATTTTAAAAAATCTACAACAATGCTGAAAATGCACAAGGGAATATTTATCTAAGGAGAATGTATTTAACCACAATATGCTGGTGAGTAGTGTTCTCACCATTTCAAACAGGTCCAGAATAGAATCTCAGTAGACCCTCAAGACACTTAACAACAACGTACCACCCCTCTTATTACAAAAAAGGTCCCCAGAAATCCAAATTTAAGATTACAGAAAAAAATAAGTGACTTAGAATAGGAAAGCAATCTTCATTTAACCCCCTAGGCTCCTCTGCATTGTTTCATTATGTAAGGGTCTCTCCCAGGGACCATTCATCCAGAATCTACACATTACTTAAATATGGAATCAAGAAAGACAAGAATACTGGAGTGGGTTGCCATTCCCTTCTCTGGGGGACCTTCCTGACCCAGGGCTCGAACCCAGATCTTCTGCATTGCAGGTGGGTTTTTTACCGTCTGAACCACTAGGGAAGCCCCCTGGAAAATCCTCAAAAAAATGATCTTGTCCACATTCAAGATGCCCAGAGCTTGCTTGAACTCTCTTTCCCAGGCCAGCCACTGGGTTCCACTCACTCCCACTCTGACAATTTGTTAATTAGGTGTTGAAGAGTTGAGGCAACAGACAGAATTAAGAGCAATCACAAGTCAAGGGAAAGGGATCATCTTCAGAACACGATAATCTCATCCTGTCCACAATGTAGGCCATGTGACCCGCAACAAGACCAAACCAAAGAGGAGAACATGGACAGGGCAGGTCGTGCCAGGAGCCCTGATGGCACTAAACAATACGGAAGGCCCCAAGTCCACTGGGAGAGCGGATCAGAGGCTCTGCCGTACATTTTCAAGGTGATTCAACCGACATACGACGTCTCAAAAATCATTCACTTATTCACTGAGTTATTTGGCTGAGCTGGCTTTTAGTTGTACCACATGAACTCTTAGCTGGGGTCTAGTTCCCTGACCAGGGATCAAACCCCAGACCCGGCATGGGAGCATGGAATCTTAGCCACTGGACGACCAGGGAAGTCCCATCTCAAAATAATTTAAGGCTCACTTCTCTTAGCACAAATACCATCTCCTAGGCTTTCACATCTGGACCTAGCCTACTAGTGGTCCCACGTAAACCCAGATATGATACATCATCCTTGGAGGTTTGGTCAACTCAAGAAAGAAGTCAGCCCAGAACTGCATGCTGGGATCACAGGGGCTCATAACTGCTCAAGTTCATAGAGGAACAAGGATGCAAAATCAAGCAAGCATGAGCCTAGCCTAGCCTTAGCTACCATACAATACTGCAATACAAGTACCAAATGGGCACTTCCCCATCCCAAGCTGCCCTATCAATGAACTATCTCATGAGACACATACGTGCTGAGCACTCAGTGCCAAGTACCACGTATTAAAGACACAACTGTGAACAACAGAGCCCCAGCGCAGCCCCTGCCCTTGTGGAACTTACTGTCTGCTTAGAGAGACAGACTGTGGACACATGAACACATGAGCAAACGTGCAGAAGGAACTCCAGTAACTCCTAACAGAGGAAAGTAGGGCTATGCTTGAAAATCTATTAGAGGAGATAGAGGGAGAAATGAGCTCTGGGAGGGCTTCCTCAAAGAAGTGATATTTAAGCTTGAGCTCTGAATGATGAGACGGAATTAGTGGTGCAAAGAACAAGGTTGGTACTGCAGCCTGAAGCAAGCAGAGGCAAAGGACTGAGGCGAAGATTACAGGAAACGGCAAAAGACCAGTGAGGCTGAAGCACAGAGAACAATCAAGCGAACAGAGAGATGAGAGAAGGCGGGGGACCAGAACAAGCAGTGCCTGTGGGTCCAGGGAAAGGGTTATTTTATTTTGGGAGTAACAGAAACCCACTAAAGGGCCTTAATCTCAGAATTATTACAATGGTCTTTCAGAGATGACTCCGATTTAAGTTTTGTTTTTGTTTTTTTTTTTAATATGGACCACTTTTAAAGTCTTTATTGAATTTTTTACAATATTGCTTCTGTTTTATGTTTAGGTTTTTTGGCCACAAGGCTTGTGAGATCTTAGCTCCCCAACAAGTGATTGAACCCAAAACACCAGCATTGGAGAGTGAAGTCTTCATCACCAGATTCCGGCTCGTTCTGGCTCTCTTGAGAAAGAGAGATTAGAGGTGAGGAAAACTGGAAGGAGAAAGATTTGTTACAAAGCTTTCAGAACAACACAGACAAGAGATGATGATGGCTTGAAGGCAGTGACAGCAAAACTAGAGAGAAGTAGATAGAATGCAGAGATATTTACAGGCAGAATTAAAGTAACTGGTGATGGACTGAACGTGGAAAAGCTAGGGGTTTCCAGGATGACTCTCAGATTTCTGCCATGAGCAACTGAATGGACAACAATATTATTCATTCATTTATTTAAATAGGAAACTTCTGAGAAAAGGCAACTGGGAGGAAGCACTACAGGGTTATGTTACATTGGAGATGCTGAGAGACAATCAAAAGACGAGTAAAAGAGGCTGCCAGAGACATTGGTAAAAGTCCAGGAAAGACATCTAGATCAAAAACATACATCTGGCAAGAGTCGTTTACACGTAGGTGGTATTGGAAGCCACAGAACTGAAGCAGGATGTGGTAGGGGATAGAAACAAGAGGTCTCAGACTAGGCACTTAGGATGCTTAGAAAGGGACAAATAGGAGGAGATGACAACGGACACTGGAAAGAAGCTACTGGGGCACTGATGATGAAGACAGGGTTTTAACTGTGTGAGCCACAGAGAAATTAAATAAGGAACAAGGTCTTAGCAATACCCAAGGCAAGGAGAGAGAAAAGGCCAGACTGGAGCTGGTTTATAATTAAGAAGCGAGGACATCTGTGGGAACACTCCTTCTTCACAAGGATGGCCACGAAGCACAGAGATGAGAGAGGAGGATGGCTGAAAGGGAACACGACATAAAGTAAAGGTGTGTTTGTTTGTTTTCTTAGTAAGATCAACATTTTAAAGATGAAAGCAGGGGCTTCTCTGGTGGTGCGGAGGTTAAGAGGCTGAACTCCCAAAGCAGAGGGCCTGGGTTCAATCTCTGGTCAGGGAACTAGATCCTGCATGTCACAATGAAGAGTGAAAGCACCATATGCTACAACTAGGATGTGGCACAGCCAAAGAAGTGAATAAAAAAGAGGAAAGCACATCTCTGTTCCTTTGTTAAGAATCCAGAAAAGATGGTCCAAAGTCACCAGTGGGGGTGGAGACAGGATGCAAGGAGCAAGCAATAGCTCAAACAAATGGGTGTGTAGATTTCATGAACAGAAGCTGAGGGATTTGCTACCAGAGAGTTATTTTTTCCCGTACAAGGCAAGGTCAGTTATCAAGATCTGGGGTGCAGAGAAAAGTGTGAATAAAGAGAAGCATGAAAGAAGGAATCATTACAAACAGTGGGGACAGGGCTTTCTGGCTGAGAAGTAAGTAGGAGTTTATAGGACCTCCACTGGGCCTTGTGAGACTGTCTCTAGTGAGGCGTGAAGAAGGTGAGCAGTTGGGTTCATCCTAGTAAAAATATTTCTGAGAGCCCATCAGCATAAGATGATATAATGCAGTGTGTGCAGTGTGGGTGAGGTCCCAGAAAAGGTGGTTTAGGTGACAGAGGACTTCCTGAAGGGATAATACAGAACTGAGCCTGAAACAGACATGGGAGTTCTCCGGCCAAAGGATAAGAGTAAAAGAAAGAGGGGAAACCAGTGATTCTAAGCATGGAACCACCAGCAATTCAGCGTCACTAAAGCCCTTGAAGAAATCAGAAATCAGGGGAGGAGGCTGGAGAGTTCTGACAGGCTCCAGATGCTGAGTCGATACTAAATGTGGCAACAATGACGTAGCTACGTGAAGACCCTTTAAAATCAGAATCTGAAACCCCACACTCTGTGGAGTAAGCACTGTCCTTCACAAAAGGACCATGCCACAAAGATTCCACATGAGCAATTTTATATCTGTCCTTCTCTGAGAGAATCTGATGCAATA